TTGACCAGTCTCAATTCTCACAAGACTCTGGGCATTTCTTGAGGCCCCAGTTGTTCTCATGGTAGAATTGGGATTGTTCTACTTTCTTTGATTTTTTTTTTTTGTTGTTGTTGTTGTGTGAATATGAAAATTCTTCAAGGGTACAAAATGCTGTAGAATCATGAAATATTAATAACAAAGAAGATAATGTGCCTTATTTTGTTATGTGGCAATGGACTGGATTGTTTCTTATGCTGCCATCCATCCATCCATCCATCCATCCATCCATCCATCCATCAGGAATAAACTGAGGTTCAGAGAACTCAGGTTACTCACTCAAAACCTAGAAAGAGCAGAACCTAATTGAAAACCTACTTCTGACTGCTACAATGGCAATGTTCACCAGCATCACCCACCAAAACACTCCTGAGGGCAGAAGGGAGGGGAGCTACCTCCCAGAAGGAAGGCGGGAGGACAGGTCTACCAAAGACAGCACCTTGAAATCTGTGTTTTACCTTACAATGCATGTGCATATTATAGTGCACTCTATATTATGCCCATGCTCGTCTGAATATCAAAGAATTTCCCAGCAATCTTTAAGTCCAACGAATGTTCTGGGAAAGGGCTCCCGCCACTCCGAGTAGCTCTGCTACAATCTGTACCCCAAACACCATTTTCCATGTCAGATGTTGGTTATTTTCGAGACTTATCTCCTGCATTGGACTAGAAGTTCCCGGAAGGCAAGAGCTGAATCGGATTCTTCCTTTCTCCCTCCTTAGACCAAGTCCAGCATCCAACATGAAACAAACACACAGATCATGAATTTGGCAAATACCTATCGCATGCCTGCCTAACCAAGTTCAGGTGCCGTGGGAGAGTCAGACGGATCACTGCTCTCAAGACATTTACAACTGAGCTGGAGAGACCAGACTTCCAGAATCTGCCTGGAAAGGATCTTCCCAAGACTCTTGGCACCACATTTTAAAAGCTTGGGACTGTAATGCAGCAATAGAAGAAATGGTAGGTAATTAGACACCAAATAAAAAGTGTCATTAAATAGGACAAATTTTGTGAAAAGTGACAACCTGTTCCTCTGGAAAGGCAGCATTGTGTCAGTTAGAGAGCACACCTTGCAGTAGCAAAGTACAAATTATTGATGACGAAACGAGTGTTTCCCAAGAGGGAGAAGTTGAAAGCACAGTAACCTGCTCTAGATGCTATCTATTCTGCCAGAAGGGTCTCAGTCTCTGATTGCTTGGTCTTTGAGGGCCATATTCTGAACTTCAGTGGCATAGATAAAGCCATGTCCCTTTCTGACAAACATGGGTAGATTCTGGCCTTATTAGATTGAAATTGATTCATCAGATAGTCACTGAACTCACTATGTCTGTGTGGGCCATGCAGTGAGAGGCAGGGGTACATGATGAAGGGTTCACAAACTTGGCAATGAAACGGGGAGTCAAAATCCTGGCTCCTCCATGACTCAGCGGAGGGATGCAGAATGGGGTTTTTAGGTCTCTGAGCCTTGGTTTTTTAAACCACAGCATGGAGATCCTAATTCTTATCTTGTAGGTTGTTGTAAAGGTTCATTGGGGTGATGGACAAAAAGCTCTCTGCACAGGGAATTGAACATAGGTGGGCACAAGAAGTGGCAATTGTGGGGCGCCTGGGTGGCTCAGTTGGTTAATCTACTGCCTTTGGCTCAGCTCATGATCCCTGGGATTGAGTCCCACATCAGGCTCTTTGCTCAGCCAGGAGCCTGCTTCTCCCTCTTCGATGCTCCCTGCTTGTGCGCTCTCTCTCTCTGTGTCAAATAAATAAATGAAACCCTGAAAAAAAAGGTAATCGTGGAAAAATTGAGGAAGTAATTTCCAATTTCAAGAAACTTCGGGTCTAGTGAAAAGACCAGTATGTTAACAGGTTAAATGTCATTAGTGTGATGGGTGCGACTATTTTTGAAGTAAGCATTTACGGAGTGCTTACTGTGGGCCAGATACTGTGCTAAATGATTGTAGCTGGATAAACTCATTTATTCTGCACAAGACGGTGGGTAGCAGGAAGCACAACTGTTCCAGTGGTGCACGTGAGGCTTAGATGCAGTTTAAGTAACATGGCCCGGGGGCACAGCGCAGCAGAGTGGTAAGAAGAAGGGATTGAACCCAGCGATCAGACTCTAGAGCAGGAATTCAAGGCACAACAACGAAAGAGGAAGAAGTCAGGAGAGGCTTCACAGAGCTGATACTAGAATGGTGAGCAGTTCCTCAGGCACCAGTCATGAGAGAAGGAGCCCAGGCAGGAGGAAAAGGCAGCTGCAAACAGCTGGGGGGGATGAACAGATTGTTCTGTCCGGGAATTCAGGTAGGTGTGCACAGAGAGTTTGGGATGACCTAGAAGATGAAGGGGGGACACCTCAGATACCAGGCATAGGGATTTGGAATTTTAACCTGGAAGAAATGAAGGACCAATGAAGGATGAGGAAGACAGGGTCACTGGCACGTACGGAATGCACCTACCTGCTAGGTTCAAAGAGGAAATGACTCTGGGTACTCCATTGGAATAATCAGGCCATATCCCATTTTCCAACTAAATTACAACTTTCTAGATATTGTGTGTGTGCAAGTCTCCCCTCTCCCCTACTGGCCAGTAAGTTCCTTAAATGTCAACTCTAACTGCTTCTCTTCTCCCGCAAGGGCTGGGCAAGTCTAGGCGCCTGAAGAATCAGGTGAATGAGTGATGACGAGCGTGAATGAGTAAACGAGAACCGAAGTGAACGGAGTTGTGGGCTGGATTTAAGGAAATGAATGTAGCTGGGGTGGGTCACGAACCTAAAAGTGAAAGCGAAACAGAAAAACTCCTAGAAGAAAGCATAAGAAAACAGCATCGTGGGTGCCAAGATTTTCAAACAGGACATGAGAAGCACTAGCCATAAAAGGAAAGAGTAATAAACTCCATTAAAACTGAACTTCAATAAAATTAAGAATGTCTGTTCATCAAAGATGCTATCTGGAGAGTGAAAGGGAAGCCCCAGATAGAGAGAAGAAATGTGTGTTCCCATGTATATGATAAAGAACTCCTAAATATCGCTTTGAAGAACCAGTTTTTAAAAATGAGGGACAACTCAAACAAGCACTTAAATACATGTATTTAATATATACACACACATGCACTCCATAAATACATTCACACATAAACACATATATACATAGATTAAAACACATACATATGGGGGTGCCTGGGTGGCTCAGTGGGTTAAAAGCCTCTGCCTTTGGCTCAGGTCATGATCCCAGGGTCTTGGATCGAGCCCCGCATCAGGCTCTCTGCTCAGCAGGGAGCCTGCTTCCTCCTCTCTCTGTCTGCCTCTCTGCCTACTTGTGATTTCTCTCTGTCAAATAAATAAATAAAATCTTTAAAAAAACAAACAAAAAAACTACAAACATATGTTCATATACCACCACACATCCACCAGAATGGGTATGATTAAAAGACCAACACCACCAATTACAGAAGGATGCAGAGCAACTGGAACTCTCATGCATGACTCTTGAGAGTAGAATTTGGTACAACCACTTTGGAAAACTTTCCAGCCGTTGGCTGATGCTAAACATATTCCCACCCTAGGACCCAACAGTTCAACTCTTGGGCACATCAATGCAAGAAAAAAGTGCCAACAGCCCACCCAAAGACTTGTTCATAACAGCTCTGTTCCAACAGCCCCAAACTGGAAACAGTCCAAACAACCATCAGCAGGAAAAGGGATAACCGTAGAGGGGCACAGTCAATAACGGTATAGTCACATTCATGTAAAAACCGACTATGGCTACAAGCAACCAAATGGAAGAATTTCAAAGACACTGTAGAGTGAAAAATGCTGGACACAAAGATTCAAGAACAGGAAAAACCAATCGATAGTGACAGAAGTCAGACAGTGGGTCCCTCTGGGAGATACTGCCTGGACATGGGTCTGTGGGAGCCTCTGGTTTACTGGAAATGTTCTTTATCTTGATCCGGCTCATGATTCCACAGGGGTGCTCATACGGAACAATTCACAGAGCCATACACAAGATTAGTGCACTCTACTGTATGTTATACCTCAATAAAGATGTTTTGATAGCTAATAAATATAATGTTCATTTTCAAAACTTGCTGAAGAAGAGGTCTGACACATTTCACGAAAAGTTAAGAATGAATTCAAATGTTAAAACAATAAAATTAAAGGCACGTAGCATGAAATCAAAGGACTAGAATGGGGTGTTTCAAGAGCTGGAGCAGGAAAAGGGAGTGTTAGAGGGAGTCAGAAAACAGAGTATGGCCACCTAGAGCCCAGCACCAGGAAGAAACCCTCAGAGAGGTCGTCAGCCCAGACCTACTGGGGACCTGGCGGGAGGGGAAGAGACTAGATTCTGGTGTGGAAGTCAACTAGGAGCTAATCATTCCTGGGGCTCCTTGCTAGCTCAGTCAGTCGAGCATCTGGCTCTTGATTTCAACTCAGGTCATGATCTTAGGGCTGTGAGACTGAGCCCTGCATTGGACTCTGTGCTGTGTATGGAGTCTGCTTGGGATTCTCTCTCCCTCTGTCCTTCTTTCACTCATGCTTTCTCTAAATAATTAAATCAAATATTAAAAAAAAAAAAAAGGCAGCAGCAGCTCATCATTCTTGAGCTGGAAAGGACGCCACTGAAAACCAGAATGAACATTGGCAATGACTGACATAACACTAAGTATTTACTGAGCATCTACTATAGGCCAGGCCCTGCTGCTGGTGCTCCACAGGAATACTGAGCTTCTATTACAGGCCAGGCCCTGCTGTTGGCGCTTCACAGGAGTCATCTCCTTTAATCATTCTGGCCACTCTGTGAAGTTACTCTGGTTACCCCAAGTTTACAGAGTGCAGTAACTTCCCCGGGGTTTCCAAGGGTCAGAGAAAGAGACCCAGGGCAGGCAGATAGGAAAGCCAGTGAATGAAAGGATTTCAAGTGACTTCAGACATTTGAACAGGTCTGAGGAGCAGACAGATTACTTACGTGATACAAATTCTGCAGGAATGACCAGCTCATTGTCCACCCAGCGGTGTACTGACAGAATCCTAGGAAAAGAGCAGAAATGGAGTATTTTTTTAATGCTTTCAGGTATATAAGCATATAATACCCAAACTAAATTTAAAGGGTACAGTGTGCAAAAGGGTGTGGCTTGAAGGGGGAAAGTAAAGTTTCTTGCACTGAACTTGGTTTGAAAGTAGATATTGGGGGCAACCTATCCCAAGAGCTGTTATACTGTGACCTCTTGCGATCTGGGAGTTTCATTTCATGTACTTCAAGTCACTCTTCCTAATTTGTCTTCCTTCATGCAATGTCAGGTTAGGCAGAAAGGGATGAAAACATCCAGGAAACTTCCAGCTCTCCCCACCTTCCTCTCTTCTGTTTCTTTCTTTTGATAAGTATATATTTATTACACACATATTATATTCCATGCATTGCTTTAGAGGTTAAGGATACAGTGATGAGTAAAATAGGAAGTTTCTGCCAGGCTTCATGAAACCAGTATTAAAGTCAGAGGAGACACACAATTTATAAAGAAACATGTAATTCCAGGCAGTGATTGAATGCAGTGAGGAAAAATGAAGTTAGATGAAAGCCTTTCTTTTTTTTGTATGTGTATTTTTCTAATCTTTTTTTTTAAGATTGTATTTATTTATTTGACAGAGAAGGAGATCACAAGTACACAGAGAGGCAGGCAGAGAGAGAGGGGGAAGCAGGCTCCCCGCCGAGCAAAGAGCCCGATGCGGGGCTCAATCCCAGGACCCTGAGACCATGACCTGAGCCAAAGACAGAGCCCCAACCCACCGAGCCACCCAGGTGCCCCCTAATCTTTTTTTTTTAATTATTTTTTTATTATGTTATATTAGTCACCATACAGTCCATTAGTTTTTGATGTAGTGTTCCATGATTCATTGTTTGCGTATAACACCCAGTGCTCCTCCTTACTACCCATCACTGGGCTCACCCATCCCCCCACCCCCTCCCCTTTAAAACCCTAAGTTTGATTCCCAGAGTCCATAGTCTCTCATAGTTCCTTTCTCCGACTCCCCCCCTTTCATTTTTCCCTTCCTTCTCCTAATGTCCTCCATGTTATTCCTTATGTTCCACAAGAAGTGAAACCATATGATAACTATCTCTTTCTCTGCTTGACTTATTTCACTCAGCATAATCTCCTCCAGTTCCATCCATGTTGATGCAAATGTTGGGTATTCATCCTTTCTGATGGCTGAGTAATATTCCATTGTATATATGGACCACATCTTCTTTATCTGTTCATCTGTTGAAGGGCATCTTGGCAAGTGGAGGCCTTTCTGGGGGGTTGATGTTTAAGCTTTGATCTAAGTAGAACAAAAGAGCAAGCTATGAGAACATGGCGAAAGAGAGTTCCAGGATCAGAAATCAGCCAGTGAAAAGGTCCTGAGGTGGGCATACATGGTCAGAGAAGAGCAAAAAGGCCAGTTTAGTTAGTACACACCAAGGAAAGTAAAAGGTCTTTGTAAGCCACAGGGAAGCCATTGGAAGGTTTTGCATTGGGAAGCAACTTGATCTGTTGGCTTACCGGGAGAAAGAACTCACAAGGGATCAAGACAATAAGCAAAGAGAGCAACCAGGAGGCCACTGCTGGAGTCTAGGGGGAGTTAATTAGCGACTGTATCAGGATGGTACTGGCAGAGGTTTTAAGTTGAAGCTGGATTCAGGAGACTGTCTGCAGGAAGAGCTACAGGGTTTGCTGGTGAGAACAGTATGAGAGACAGAGGTTGAGGATGTCCCTAAGTTTCTGTCCTTCAGTCCTTAAATGAATGATGCTGCCACTGATTTGGGGAATGATTAGGTTTAAGGGGTAAACCAGGAGGTTAATTTCTGACATGTTGAATTGCAGATGCCCATTAGATATTCACTTGGAGCTGTCAGCAGGCTGTTGCTTGGTGTTTGGTGGGGGAATCCTAGAAACCATCTGAAGTAATGGATAAAGAAGATGTGGTCCATATATACTATGGAGTATTATGCCTCCAACAGAAAGGATGAATACCCAACTTATGTATCAACGTGGACAGGCCTGGAGATTATGCTGAGTGAAATAAGTCAAGCAGAGAAAGACAGTTATCATATGGTTCCACTTACTTGTGGAGCATAAGGAATAACATGGAGGACATGGGGTGATGGAAAGGAGAAGTGAGATGGGGGAAATCGGCGGGGGAGATGAAGCATGAGAGACTGTGGACTCTGAGAAACAAACTGAGGGTTTTGGGGGGGGGGGGGGAGATTGGGAGAGCCTGGTGGTGGGTATTAAGGAGCACATACTGCATGGAGCAATGGATGTGGTGCATAAACAATGAATCTTGGAACACTGAAAAAAATAAATTAACAAGAAGAAAGAAATCATCTAAAGTAATCCCTTATGGACAGATAAATCTCAGTGCTCTCTAATTATTAACATTTATTCATTCAGTAAATATTTCTTGATACCTACTGTGTGTCACACACTCTACTGGGTGCTGGGGAGTACAGCACAGATTTGGTTAAAAACAGTCACTCTCTTTATTACAACTTAATTAGTTCACTCGTTTCTAAGACACTTCTCCGATTGTGTAAATACAAAGAATCAACTCTCAAGAGTTATAAATACTGAGATGCTCTCTGACTCAGCAATTTGGAAGAGCTTAGATTTTCCGAAAGAAAAGAGCTATAAATAGATTTGGACAAATGACAGATTTACTCATAAAATATGCGAAGACCGCCTTAAAATGAATCAGAAGAGACTGTCTCTCAACCAAATTAATGTTTACGAAGAGTCAACTTGGTGTAATGGAAAAGCTTACAGGGCTGGAAGGCAGAAGCTCTGGGCCTGTGTGTTCTGCTTGGACTAGGTCACATGTATGACCTTGACTGAGTCCTTGACTCATCCTGGGTCAGTTTTCTCTTCAATAAATTGAATGTAAGTTTCAGTGTTTTCTAAAGAGCCTCCAAACTATTAAGTTCTTTCTTTGTATTATTTCTCTTGCTGGACTCTCATTCTCCTTCCAACATTTTTAAAAAAACAAAACTCCAAACTCCAAGGTGATTCTTCTCTTCCATGAGGGCTCATCTTTCAAACCAAAGTAAAGCTGGCTTTTTTCCTTTTTGCAACTGGAAATTTTTTTTTCTGATTCTAAGAAAATGATCCATGATCAGAAAAGCACAGAGAGAGTAAAAAAGTCTCTACACTCATACCTCTGAGGTAACGCTATCTGTTGTATCTACAACGTATCATATGGGAGGTGTTGAATATTTGTTGAATGAATGACTGCTGCTGGTATTTGTGAATTTTAGTCAAAAAGAAATTAAGAAATAAAGAAAGAGGAAGGAAGGAAGGATGGAAGGAAAGAGAGATAAGAAAAAAATCCTTTCTCTGGGGGTTGTTTAGCCACTAAGGCAGCAGGGGTCAGTTACAGTCACCAGGGACTGAAATGGCTGGGAGCCTACCAGATCTCAAATTACTGGTTTCACAACAGCTGAGATTTGAAATCCATGGAATGTGGGGAAACAATAACACCAAATACACCATTCTGAAGCCTGTAAACAGTATCAAGGGTGGCTCAGTTTGAGCAATAACAAGGAAGCCTACAAAACAGTACAAGCGCTAACCAGGAGTGGCTCCTGCAGCTGACAGGAGGGCAGGTTCTGCCCCACAGATCCTTCCTCCCACGCTTGGGCCCTTTCCCTTCCCTACAGCACCAGGATATGTTTTCTTGGGGCACCTGAGCTGACCTCAAAACTTTATTGAAAACCTAGCATCTTTTTGATTGTTAACTTCCCTCTCAGTAAAAGGTGGTTTTCTGGTTACCAGGGGGCATCTGGGCAGAGGCTTTAGAGAGACCTGCATTAATCAGGGAAAAGGAAGTTACTAGCTTCAGAGGGTCACCTGTGCAACGGGCAGAGCAGAAGACCTTATATATGCTTTCAGAGACGGCCCTGCTATTGGCAATATTTCCCAACAGCCCACTTGCCTGAGTAACTCATTCATCTTTCAAAAATCAAGCTCAAATAGGACGTTCAAGGAAGGTCTCCAAGCAGCCTCCCAGGGCAGAGTCCCTGTGCTATGCCATGTTCCTGCTTTCTGTGCTGAACTTACCGCACTATAATTAACTGGTTTCTAGGCTGGTTTGCGAGCTCCTCCAAGGTAGGTGCTGTGTTGTACTCACTCATGTTTCAAGGGGCCTGCATAGTGCCTGGTGCTTAATAGATGCCGCTCCAGTGATTTTGCATAATTAGAGGTAGCAAGTCGGGTAAATGAGCACAGCAGGCAGGATGTAACTAACCCAGTGGGGTCAGGGGGTGACAGGGAGCTGAGGAACACTCCATCCAGAGCAAGAAGCTGCCCTTCAGCTCTAGCAGACTGCTCCGTGGGACAACGGCCCAGTGGGGCCAAATCTGGTGATTTTTTAAGATCTGAAAATTCAGATCCACATGTCAAATGTCCCAGTTTTTCAACATTAGCTCTTCCTTCCATTTGGGAGAAAAAGATGCATGGGAGAAAAAGAAAAAGTGTGGCACCATTTCCTTTGTGGAGCAGTGCCTACCCCTTCCTTTTGTCAAAATGCCAGAGAAGGTTCACCTCTACCAGGAAGAGCCTACCTGACTAATCCCCAGTCACCTCCAGTTATTTCAACTAAGGCAACACTTCCATTCCAGGGAAACTGGTTACCTGAGGGTAACTCTCTTACTTGAGCCTTGTTTTGTTTTGGAACCTCCTTGGTAGTTCAAGAGTAGACCAGCATTCCATGCAATTAATAAGTGTTTATCAAGTATTTATATTGTACAGATAACTCTGTCATATACATCACCTTTGACCCCAACAACCCAGTTGGGAATGAAGACAAAGACAAAGAAAGTAAAAACAGCAGATAAAATTCAGAAAACATTTATTAAGTGCTTGGTATTCACATTTTTGTTCTCCATCCATCCAACATTCAGTGAGCGTTACTACAGCCCTGCACTGTGCTTAGCACCTGGAAATCGAGCCACTAAAATGTACAAGCTAGTCGGTGACATGGAAAAGGAAACCCATTTATAATAAGTCACCTGGCAAAGCAATGTTCAAGGTACAGCAACAGCTTGGAGAAATGTGTGTCGACCTCTCCCAGGGACACTGGGCAGGTAGTATCACGGAGAAGGTAAGTTCAAGCTGCTTATCTCAGTTTTTTGTTTTTTTGCTTTACTTTTATTGTGACATTTTACAACACACACAAAAATACTGAGATTAGTACAATGAAACTCCATGTACTCACAACCTGCTTTAACAATTAGTAACTCATAGACACTTCTGATTCATCAGTACCCTCCGCCGCTTCCCTCCATCCCTCCATTTTGTCTGGAAGCCAATGTGAGATGTCTTTATCATTTCACCCATAAATGCTGCGTTTAAAGAAGGACTAGAAATGTCTAGACCTTCCACTATTAAATTCCTTTTCCCCATCCATTCTGCCAGCAGCTCTGCCAGAGTTACACACCCTGATTCCTGCGGTGACTCGGAAGCCTTAGCTGGTTCAGGGTGGAGACTCAAGGCTGTACTGGACCCTTTCAGTTGGTTGAAGAAGAAGATGGAACTGATCCAGTGAAAATCCCCTCCTGCCTTATCTCAAATGCTGACCATTCTTCAGGTCCTTGGTCCCAATCGTTAATTCTTCAGAAAAACTGCTAATTCTTTAGAAGCTTATTGAATTAATTGAATTTAGAAGCTTATTGAGGGTCGTACAAATGAACTAATGTTTGTACAAACAACCGAGTGTTTGAACAAAGTGGTGGCTACACTCCACACTCCCATGTGCCCTTAACCTCCAGGGAAACCTAAGACCCAAGGGGCTTGCCCTGACTGCGCCGACCCAAAGCTGCTTCCTGTCACAAGTTCGATCTTCACTGGGTTGGGAACCTAGACGCACCTGAGCATCTGGTTCTCTACACACACCCTCCAGCCCTTTGGCATTTCCTGTCTGCCTGAAAGGCAGCAACAGCCACGCAGTTACCCGACCAGAACACTGTCCCGGACTCCCTCTCCCTCACAATTCTGTCTGTTCCTTCACAGCCACCCATGATTAACCACATCCACCACCATCCTCCGATTTAGGCCCCGGGCCCCTTCCTTCAAGTACGGCAACACTGAAGCATCTTTCTGCCTTTAGCACGACCCTCCTCGTTCTGCACGCAGCTGGGGGATCCCGCGGCTGTTCAAAACCCTCTCATAGTTCCTGACCCCTGCGGGATCAAGACCAACATCCCTACCACCGACCAGGGGGCTCCGCAAAATACAAGGCCTGTCAGTCAGCTCTGCAGCTTCATCCGCTCCATCCCCTCCGTAGCCGGCAAACAAAGGCTCATTCTGCAGGGCCTGCTTTCTCGGGTCTCTGTGCTCTCACCCGGGAAGCGCCTCTTCTCTCAGGAATAGGAAAAGCTACACCCACCGCGCCCTCGCTTACAAGCGTGAGCTCCCACGAGTCCGCAAAACCACGAAGTCATCACCTTCACTGCGCAGACGGAGACATGGAAGACGGGCGCCTTACCCATGGCCACACAGCTGCTCAGTGGAGGAGGCAAGGCTCGGATTCAGACTCGCGGCGCCAGAGGCCCCGGCCTGAGCCAGAAGAGTCCCGGGGGCCTGCGCACCTTCCACCGCGGCAGCGACGGCTCTCGGCGGCGGACAGCCCCTGGCCGCGCGGGAACGGCGACCAGCTGATCCCGCAGAGGAACTAGACTTCTGATTGGCCGCCTCCGGCAACCGTTGGAGAGAGGGCGGGACCGAGGGCCCGGGGGCGTCGCAGAGAAATGACGCAACGCCGCGGCTCCTTAAAGGCGCCAGCCCCTTGCGCCGCCGATGGCGCAGGCGCGTTCCGGGGGCTCCCGCTGCTTCTCCGAGCGCAGAGTGTTGGGTGGGACGGGCGCGCGCGCGCGCGCGGGCTGTGCACACAGGGCGCGCGCCGGGCAGCTCCTAGGGTCTGGCGGGGCGGCGGAGGCAGCTGGACCAGACGGCTGACGAGGCGGCGCCGAGATGGCCGAAGGCAGCGCTGTGTCCGACCCTCAGCATGCCGCGCGTCTGCTGCGAGCGCTCAGCTCTTTCCGCGAGGAGTCCCGCTTTTGCGACGCGCACCTGGTCCTCGACGGGGAGGAGATCCCCGTGCAGAAGAACATCCTGGCGGCCGCCAGTCCGTACATCAGGTGAGGAGGGGGCCGCGGCGGGCCGGGCGGGGCCGCGCTGCCCGGAGCCCGGGGGTGGGCCGGGCCGGGCCGGGCGTGTCCCCGGAGCACCTGGTCCCCACTCCCCCAGCCGCCCCGCTCCTCCCCGCTCACCGCTCGGCGCGGGGTCCCTCCGGCGGACGCCCTGCCGGACCCCCGGGACGGCCCCTTAGCTTCGGTTACCCTCGGGCCAGACCCGTGTCCCCCGCGGACCCCCGGCTCCCTGGAGTGGACCCCCGGAGCCTGGGCCGCAGCTCTCCAGTCCTCCCTGCTCCGGTGCCCACCGCCCGGCGTTCGCACGGGCCTCCGAGCCGCCGAGGCCCCGGGACGCCGTCCTGGGCCGGCCGGCGACCCGCACCCGCGAGCAGGGCGGAGCCTCGCCCGGGCCCGGCCCGCAGAGCCGGGCTGAAGTTTGCCGGCCGCTCGCCTCCGAATCGCGCAGTGGGCCGGGCCGGCGCGGCGAATGGAGCCGGGCGCGCCCCTCCCGCGGAGAAGCCGAACAAACACTTCCTCGCCCGCTGCGGGCAGAGGGAAGAGCCCGTGGGACCTTCTCCCCGGGGTCCGTCATCCGACCCCCGAGGCCGAAGTTCCTGTCAGACGCGTCTTTTTCCACGCCCGGTGGGAGCTCCGTGTAAAAGCTGGGCTGTGCGTTATAGGCACACGTTAAAGTAAGCTGTAGCTAATTTTAGAGCACTTACTGTAATTCTCAGGATGCGGTTACAAGCCAGGATCGTGTGATTTCAGAGACTCAGAGAGCATTTTAAAACTTAGGTAAAACAAAGCTTAAGCTGTTATGCTAAGTCAACTAACCAGGTTAACAAAGGTTGATAACATGGTGCTTAATCGAGTGTGTCCGCTCTTGCGAGGGGCTCTATTTTTTTATAGCAACTTTCTGCAAACTGGGTGGCTCTTTTAGCAAAAGAAAAAAAAATACTAAAAGCTGGAGAAACTGTCCAGTAAGCGGGTTAAATATAGACTAATCGTAGAGAATGTCACTAGAATTGACAGGTCAGAAAAAGCAAAATGATGGGCATGTATTCTTAGGGCTTTGTCCCAGCACCACTTGGCACTGAAACTCCATCTTAACCTTTGCATTAGGAGATACCTCTGCCAACTCAGAAGCTGTTCAGGTGCTCTTGTAACTTCTCCTGGCTGCGTTCTGTAAATCTGCTTGCACTCTTTGTGGATTTAAAGGTGGGGCGCAGGGAGCCTTTGTTAGAATGGCATTTGGATTGCCAGCCTGACAGACAGCTCCTACCTGGCCATTGGGAGGTTTGAGCAGTCAGCATCAAATTGGAATCGGCAGGTCACAGTCTTCCCTGTATCCAAAGTATTCCCTGTTTCGGGAGATAGCACAACTACTATAGATGAATTATTGTTGTAAGTGGCATCCAGCAGACTTAAAATTACAAATCACCAAACACATGCTCTCTATCCCTTTCCCATGCTTCAATTTTCTCCATACCGCTTACCACTATAATATACCCTCCGTTTCACTCATTTACTTTATCCATCTTCCCTAGCCACCGTGTAAGCTCTGTGAGGCCAGGGAGTTTTCTTTTGTCCATTACTGTATCCCTGGCAGCCAGAAAGAACAGTGCCTAGTGGTTCAGCAAATGTGTTGGATGAGTGATGGCCTGCCTTTCTTCCCTGGCAGGTTGGACCTGAGATGACTGGCTCTGTTATATTTCATTTCAGATGCTCAGTTATCCCTCATTGAGAAGAGCACTAGGCCTGCTTTCTCCTTCTACCTTTTACTCGTATGGCTGTGATCTCTTGGCGGATGACTTATTCTTGACTTCAGCTCACTAGTCTGATAAATGAGGGATAAAATGTGTCTTCGTCTCATGTAATCTTTGACCTGTAGAGGAACGTGAAATAGTGCTTTGAACTCCTCCAGGTTGACACACAAGTCTACAGAGGTAGTGGTCATTGCTGCTATATCTTCTGCATTCCGAAAGATGTGGTATCCCCTTGGGACATGGTGGCAAATAATGAGAATATGTAGTAATGTCAAATGTTACTTACTTAACAGTAGCAGTAATTTAGGGGTGAAATACTACTCATCAAAGTAGCCAAGCTGAGAGGGACTTTAGATCTTTTTCTGGTCTAGTTCTGTCACTTTTCAAATAAGGAAATGGGGCTTGGTGGGCCTTAGTGATTTGTATTATAATGAAGTTACTAGTACCTAGTGGTTGAACTAAGATTAGACTCCAAGTTAATGATACCTCATCTCCTACTCTAACCATACCACGTTACGACATTAACTCGTACCTGAGTATTCTTCGTGTAAGCTCTACTACTTATCGATTCACAATATAATTTAAATGTTTACCAAATACTTGTACATACTGTCTCATTTTGATTTTCACTTCCATCTTATTTACTAGGTAGGGCAGATATTTTTGACATTTTATAGATAAATAGGAATCAGTCCATGTATTTTTGTCAGTGACTGATTAAGTTTATTTGACTGTTGAAGTGGTGGAATGTTTTTGGTTGTCCTTTAAAATGATGAAGCTCAAGTCTACTTCAAAGTAATTTGACTAATATATAATACTACTTAGAAATAAACTTTTTAGTTATTTTTATAGCCGTGATTTCATGCTTTTATAATGTATCTGTTTTGTTTGAAGGGGACTGTAAAGAGTTTTGCTGAAACAAAATGAATTTGCATGTTCTAGCACTTGATGTTTCTTTCCCTTTTGAAGCTTAAGCATTAAGGTCTGTGATGTCATTAATATGTGGATTGGGTGTTCCAAAGTTTAGTAGTCTCTGATATTTTATAAAAATTTAAGTTTTGTTTATTAAATTTAGTTGGCCAGTTTAACTATCCTAAGCAATGTAAAGTTGTATGATTTAGAAACAATGTTATATATTGCTTCTGAATGCTCAAAAAAGGGAACCAATTCAGCTTTGTCAGAGTAGAAATTAAAGCAATTCATTGGCATACTTTCTACTTAATAGAGAAAAGTCTTTTAACCTAACTTATTGGTTTAATCATTTCCTGTGCTTTGTCTTTGGTTTAGCATTTATTTTTCCTCCTGCTACTCTCGGCTATCCGACACTAGAAGGACTTTCAGTATAAAAGGAACAAACCAGAAAACTCAGCTTTAGCAGTAGAATCCTAATGATAACCTGAAAAAAGGTTGTGTAGAGTATATGTTATGCAGTTTTAGGATACAGATGCTACTGGAAGGAGGGCAGGTCCATCATTAAGCTCAGTAAGTGGGATGCTGCTTTCCCAGTATGCCCTCTTTACGGCTGTTTCCCATTCTGATCCCTGAATGATGTTTTTTCCTTTAGTTTGTTGGGAAAACTAAATCTAAATGTAGCTGACAACCTTTAAGGATGACAAAGTTGAATTCGTTGGTATAACGACCCACAGAATCTTTCCTTTCTCAGCAACCCTGAGACCTTCTGGGAAAGGTTCCCTGAGGCTTATAGGAAATTTCCCTTTCTCTTGATTATTGCAAAGTTTGCTTTGCTTCATGTCTGAGGCTCTTCTGATTCTGGCACAATTCCATTGATCTGATACAAAGTTCGGACTCTTACGAGTTGTGGTTCTTTGGGAGTTATGTATGTGAAAAGGAACTGTATGATTCTGCAAGACCACGTGCATGTTCCTATCTTGTCACTTTTGGGGGCAGGGGTGGAGATGCTATTTATTTATGGCAAATACTCCACATCCGTGATCCTCTCCAGTTAAAAGTTCTTTGAAATGATGCCATTGGCCTTGACCAGTCAGAGGATAGAGTCCCCTGACTCACCCATCCTGCCAATGGCCTCACAGGTCGCATAGGTTTTAAACTGGCCATTGAGCCTGTTGTCACTTGTCAGCCTTAGCCACGTTCACCTGGATGGATGCGTGGTCCTTGGTGCTGATGATGCGGTTGCTAGAGGAGTATTTCCACAGCACGTACAGGTGCACGAACTTGCCGTGTTCTTCTGCAAGTCGAGGGCACACCTGCTGCTACCTCCACCATTGTGGGCCAGAAAAGCCTCTATTCACTTTTGAGAATTTCAGTTTTTTCTGGGGAACTGTTGGAGCGTTAATTGTTTAGCTTTTTGTCATGGTGAGTAAAGGGAAGAAAGAGTCTCAAGATTCTTAGATCCCTTGAGTCAGCCAATGGTAAGAATGGCAGCTTTTCCCCCTTGTTTTTTTTTTTTTTCAGGGAAATCTGGTCTTGAGATGGTGGAGTAGAGACACTGGGCCCAGAATCCAGTCTAGGTCATCTTGGATCCCCTTTCCGGGACTTGGTTTCCTCATCTGCAAAGTGAGGTTGGCCGGGCCACAGGAACGACAAATCCCCTTTAAGTCTGAATTGGGTGGCTCCATGCTATTTTTGTTTTGTTTTGTGTGTCTATGTTGTGGAGAAGGGTCTGTTCTGTTCTTACAGCTTTATTGTATCATTTAAAGTTTTGTTGTACATTGACATTAAGGCATTTCCTCTGCCCTTTCACACATGATTTGGTTGGGTATTCTGTTCTATGAATCCAGCCCCATAGAACTATTTTGTAACAAGCATTGACTCTATGCTGTTACTCTGGGTATATTCCAAGGCCTAATTATCGATGAGCCTATTTTGCCATTTAAATCTAAACTTTGACTCATAGATGATGATGATGATGAACTACTTAAGGAGACTAATATGATCTCTGTAGGAAGTCCAAGTTTCAGAGCAGCATGGAAATTTGTCAACATCCTTTCTTTGGGCACCTGAAACCTGTCCTGTACTTGATCGGGACTAATATCCATTAGTTTGTCTGCTGTGTACAGAGCATGCTGTTGGTACCCAAGTCCCTTTTCTTTCACTGGTGCTTTGGGTTTTTGGTCCCTTATGTGTGGCCGCTCCTGCCACAGGATTTTGAATGGTGACTATAACCTATTAGGTTCCTTAGTGCCTAAGGGTTCAACTAGAAGCTCCCAGTTCTGAGACTCTTGCTGAGTCGTGAGCATCCTTAAATTCAAATAATGACTG